GTAGGAAAAGTGTCGCAGAGAAAAATAAATAAATACGACATCTTTCATTTAAAATTATAGGCTAAGCAAAATATAAACAAAACAGAGTTGAACGTCCTTCAATGAAAGCGCATCCACACTTTGCTCCATCCTTATTCTGCTCTGTCACTCATCGACAACCTGCCTGTTCTGTCTGAGGGCCGTATATTTACCACCAGTACAGCCTGCTCTGAGCATCGTTATGCACATGCTGCGCACAGACCACGCAAATAAAATGCATGACGTTTAAAGCATGCATGCAGCGCGTGCATAACAGTCCTGAACGCAAGCTGTACCGGTGGTCAATAAGAATAAAGCGCAGATATGCTGTTCTAAATGGACGTCGGGAACGGGATATTGTTAGACCGCCCGCTCCCGTTCAAATTACACCAGAGTTACCGACCGCTACCGTGTTTTTTTTTTTCGGGAATTTAATCCCGCGACGCAAAAAATCCGGTCGGGTCCCGCGGGAGAGCCGCGGGAATGCAGACCTCTACTTTTTGTCATCTATCATTTGTCTTATCTGTTTGCTGTAGTTTTGATTCTGTGATCCTGTCCCTTATGAGGGCCTCTTATCATGTACCTGCGAAATGATCAGAATCTGTCTGTGTTATTTTAGGTCTTTTTGAGAAGCAGCACTTGTTAAAGTCTGAATATCAGTACAGCCTCTCAGACCCTTGTTAAAGGTCAAGGAGTCTATAATTACTCCCCGTGTGTCCTAAGGAAATCAGTGTCCAATCCATGTCTTTGACTCATTAGTGGTCCCCAGCAAGGGGACCAGAGATAATTGGTGGGAGTTAATTCTGGGGTGGGAAGCATGACTAGAATTTTAGATCATTTATATGAACAGTTTGACAGATTTCTACTGCCACTCAATCAGTGGTGAATTCAGAGCCACAGTGATAATTGAAAACCTTTCTGTGATCAGTGTTGCTGTGCCAAAAGAACAGTAAGAACTGGCAAGTCAGAGGGTCACAAGAGAGGAAATGGACGTAATATTAGACATTCAGATATTCCTGCCAACTCCCAACAAATTCAGGGAGTGTCCTGAATCTATAAACCCTTCCAGTCATAGTTTATTAGGTGAAGTAGAGTTTCAAGGTCAGCTTCAAGGGTACTGCTGATTACACAAGCTTGAGTCAACATGAAATCAAAATGAACAATTATTATTAAATAATATTACAGTATTTACTATAAATTATTTTTATAAATTTTTCTTGTTCAAAAAGTCATTTCACTCTGATACTGTATGTCACAATAGAGAAGAATCATTTTAAAAGACTTTAAAAGAATAATTCTGGGTTTCTGCCCACTGAGAGCAGGACAAAATTGATATGGCAGTGCCAATATAATAATAAGAAAAAAATATTATTATGATTAATTCAATTCAATTCAATTCAATTCAATTACACTTCATTGTTGGAATTTCTTCCAAAATTTGTCTTGCATCTCACAGCGGATCTCACATTACACCAATTTAAACAAACAAACAATAAACACACCTTAATACAAAAACCAACAATATAAATACATGCACACACAGTCGGAGTGCATTAGTATAGTTCTTTCTGTTTTACAGAACCCAGAGGCCTACTTAGACCCCCAATTCTGATTTATTAATTTTACGGACTGATAAACACAAGATTTACGTGATCTGTTCAATCTGGCATATGCAACTCTAAGCCTTCTATTTGATGGCAAAAACTGATATTCCTCAAATAAAATGTGAGAAGGGTCAGACATAATCTTTCCTAACAAGGTCAGCATTTTTTTGGTATACAGATCTTGACAATTTGGCTCAAGCACTTGGCCCACAATTTTAGAACAAATAGATAGCAATCTAGCCAATCGAGCTTTGAGCTGAACAGAGAGACAACTATACCATGTACACATTCCATATTGCACAACATAAATAATGATAGTAAACTATAGGACTGGGTTTTGACACAAATTTCACGATTCGATTCGATATCGATTATTTTGGATATATATCAGGTACAGTACATGCCACATTTTCTGAAAGAAAAAAAAATCTCAACTAAAATATATATGAGAGTCAGTTGGTACTACATTACTATAATATTGAAGGTTAAAACTGACTGATTTGTTAAAATTACACTTAATGAAGTTTTAAAATAATAAAGTTACAGTTACATAATATTTCTACTTCAATTCGTTTTGTTTTTTAAATATAAACAATGGTGGCTGTCATAAAAACTTGATGGATTTATTCAAACATAAATTAAACATTGAAGAACAGTAAAATTTATAATGAATGTTATATGGTGCATATATTTAATCTGATTAATGAGTTTATGGTCACGAATATGTTTTTCTGAGGTATTGTTTACAAGCCGTTATATTGACGTCTTTGCGCGGCTGAAACACTGATTGAGTGATTACATGAGGCAGGATATGGATTGTAAAGTTGTACCCTTACTTTTAACTTACCTTCGGATGCTTAGTCATGCTTATTTTGTGCTGAAACTGGTATTAATGTGGAGGAGATGATCCGTTCACGTACGCCTTGCGCTGCTGCGTTGAACTGAGGCGCTACAGAGATCTGTCACTCCACATTAAACAGCGCCAAAACGGCATTTATTGTTTGAATACTGCAATACAATGGACAGAATTT